AGGGGAGGCGTACCCCGCTGCGAACAGAGCGGTGACGAGTGACAGCCCGGAGGAATTGGGCCGGAAGGCTCCCGATGGCCCGTCGCCGCTCCGCGCTCGGGCGGAATTCCGTCGCTCGAAAAATGCCACAGAAATGCACATTGTGGTGGGTGCTAGACCTTCCGGCGACAGGCCTTGGACGCCAGTGGGAGCAATCGCGAGTCGAATTCGGAGCTGCTGTCGCCTTCAGAAAACTAATATCTGTGCTGCGAGCCACGATACACAGCTTTTCTTCTTTTTTTCTATAATAACAGTGATTTTCTGTCGAAACTTTAATGTGTCAGTAAGGAAAAATATAGCTATTTAATTATGAGAGTTCAAGTGATTTCTTTGTACCATGAATCTCTCGGCAACTAAACCGATTTAGTTTAAAGTTGGATTATAGTATGTATTTTAGGTGTTGGAAAACTATGATTTACAGTTCTTTTAATTTATTTCGCTTTTTCTTCTTCGTACCCTCGATTGTTGATCGAAATGTCAAAAAACGTATATATTTTATGCAGTGTGTAGACTGCTTACCTGTGTTGGATTTTCAAACATCCGCAACACATGGAAAATCTGCAACACATGGAAAATCATCTTCTACTATTTAGATCCCTAGGTCTCCCGTGTGGTTTTCCAAGGATCATTTAACTGGCTTGTAATTATTACTATCGTAGCCTTTCTGCGCGTCTTCAGTTTCTGCGGTTGCGTCGAATCGTGTCTAGATAAACTCTTTTGTGTTTCATTTCACTTCGTATCCATAATAGAAAAGCACTGACAAATCTCAAAATTTTCCTACAATATTCGCTTCTTGAATTTTTGAATGCCGCCGCATCTGGTGTTTTGTAAGTGCACAACTTTCACAGCCATAAAGAAGTAATAATGCTGCTATAACTTCGTGTAGTTATGCCATTGACACTTTCCTGACATTGCACGCGATTTTGTTTTGCAGCACATTGCCATCTCGATATTTTAAAACATTTTGCTATGTGCAACTGCGGTGCAGTTGGTGGGCGAACAGATCGTGGCCGCAACGTGTAAGGCTCTTTGCGCCGGCGCTCGATCTGTTCGCGGCAATCCTGATATATCGCGGCGCGTGAATTTTTCAGATGACCCCCGCGGAGGGAGGGGCGACGTGTTAATGGGCCGTTTCCTCATGCGGCGAGAGAGCCCCGCGCACGAGCGGCCTTCTTGCGCCCATTGCGGCCCTGGCCCTGGCCCTGGCCTTGCCCTTCCCTTCCGGCCGCTGCGCTCCGTCGGTTAACTACCGCGCGTCTGCTCACGACTTCCGAGATATCAAGAGAGGAGTGCTTTTGGGATGATTTGATTTGATTTATTGCGTCAGAAAACAGTACACTGAAGTCTCTAAGATTAACCTGCGCTCGTTTTCTCGAGTTCCGGAATCCCTACAACACCCTTTTACTGAACATAGTTAAATGATAAAGAAAACTAAAGCAAAGTTACTGTTCGAAAATTGAAAATGTTTCACTGGTAATATCCAAGTAATACTTATACTTATTTGTATGTTAAGAGATATCTAGGACAAATGTCAATTCATTTACACTGCATTGAAACCGAAGTCTATTAACTTTTAAATGTTTGCTAATAGTATAAGTTCGTGCCTTCTTTCGTTACACTATTCGGCCGAAACCCTTCATGTCCGCACCCGTATTTTAAGCCTGCGTGTGTGGGTTGTGTCTCGTCGCCGTGTTCTGGCGAGACGGGAGGGGGGGGGGCTCGTGGCTCGAGTCCGCTTTCCTGGGCGGGGAAGTTGCCTTGGTCCCCTCTCTGGCCGAGGGGCGATTTAAAAAACATGACGCAGAATTAATCGAGTCGCCAAGAAATTGCATGCAAATGGCTCGGCCGCTAATCGGTGGGAGTGAGGTGAGAGGGAGGGAGATGGGTGGGGCGGGGCCGGAGCCCGTGACGGACCATCTCGGCGCCGCCGACGCCCTCCCGCGTTACAAGACTTTTTGACGCGCAAATTGCTTCTTTTTTCTCGGCTCCCCGCGTCCTTCCAGCCAGGCTCTTCAGACGCGGTGGCGCTCTCCCCTACCCTCGCCCTCCCACCTGCTCCCTGTCCTTCCGCTCCCACAATCCACTCGCTCCCCCTGCTTTCCACTCCTCGCCTCGTAGCTCTGTGGCTGCCTTTGGGTTTATCTCGCGCCTGCTAATGAATTTACAGCGGATTTCATTTTGGCTCCGCTGTGCGCCGCGTGTGGGCCGCTCACCGCTCGCTCGCTGCGGCTGCGGTTGCGGTTGCTTAAGACTCCAGCGACAAAGCTTCCTTGCCTCTCGTTTCCATAAGAGCGGGCGGGATGGAGGTCGTGTTTTGAAAGAAAATCTCTTCGGTTTAGAAAATGAATTCCCAATAACGGCGTGCAGTAACTGTTGCATTTCTTTCATGATGCGAATCCTGTCTCGTTAAGATTTTGTGTTGTTGAACGGGAGAATCCATCTCCTGTGAGGAGTAGTCGCAGTGTTGGTGTATCCCCAGACGCTCCTTCTCGTCGTTCTGATGGTATTGCCGCGTTGCCTCGTTTCCCACTTAGGAGACGGGTGAAGCGGCGGCGGCGGCGGCGGCCGGATATTCGGGGACTGATCCTCGCGCGGAGCGGGGCGGTGAGGATGCGGGGGAGAGGCGGGTAAGGCGGGACGTAATCTGGAGCTTAGCGCGGCGACTCGTCCGCGAAAACGGGGCTGCTTCGCTGGGCGCTTGTCCGTCGGGCAATTTGTTTGTCGCGCGCGCCCGCGCTCTGTCCGTGGAGCGGTAATTAATTTCCATCCCTGAGCTGCGCCGCCTGTCGCTCACTCCGCACCCCTCCCCTTCCATCCCGCCGATCACCGCCCCGCCCTTCCCCTTCCGACGGGATCCCCTCGGCGAAGGGCGACCGGGGCTGCGGGGCCGGGCAATTTCCAGCAGCTGCCCATTCGCAGTAATTGGTCCGGTAATGTCCAAGAGGCTTTCGGCCGCTTCGACGCCATCTGACTTCGTTTTTAGGGTTTCGGAATTTTTTGCTTCTGTTCGCGCATTATCGCTGTTTTAATGTTATTTACCATGTTTTAGTTCTTCTTTCTTACTCTTGCCTGTTTACCATTGTCCCCAACTTAAAAGTTTAAATCCCAATCAATTAAGATAAGTAAGAAAATAAATTACAAAATAAAAAAAGTATCTTTACAAGGAAACTTCACATAGATGCCATTATTTTAAATAACTAATTATTTTCTATATAAAATTAATCATTTGGGAAAATGATTTATGTCTAGTAAAGAAAAACTGTTTCTGGGTTTTCAGTTTGGCTTTAATTCATTACATTTATACAGTTTCTAGGTTTTGTTAACATGGCAATACAATAGTGCTATCTGATTGTTACAGGTAAAGGATTTCCGCACTCTGTATGCAAAGGTTATTGTCGACAAGCATGAAGATGTGATGGCAAAGTTTGGAGCTATCCTTGCCCAGGGTATAATTGATGCAGGTAAGAATGTGAAGTGTGAGCTAAAATTTGTGTATGAAAACAAAACATTTTCCTGCTCTGCTTAGTTTCACAAATAATACTGTTTTGGAAGGTGTCATTGACTCTTACATTTTGTTTTCCAGGTGGTCGTAACGTCACAGTATCTCTGCAGTCTCGCACAGGGCATACCAACATGCTCTCTGTAGTGGGTGTTCTGGTCTTCACTCAGTATTGGTATTGGTTCCCTCTGGCCCATTGTCTTGCTTTGGCGTTCACCCCAACATCGCTTATTGCTCTCAATGCCCAGCTGAAGGTGAGAAGGAGAATTTATCTCTATTTATTTATTCTCTTTGAGTGTTAAATTTTTTCCCTTAAACTATAGTGATTTCCCCTTTGTACATGAAGAGACAAGACTTTGCCTTTATGATATTCATTGATTTGCATTGGTCTTTATGAAACCATAGTATGAATAAATATATACATAGATACATGAAGAATATACAACATAGATTTATTTAACTATTCATGGCATGCTGTATGAAAATAACATATGGCACATTAATTTCCTTCTTGTAAAAGGTATACATTTTCAGTCCTAACAGTTACGACATTATTTCATTGCAAATAAATTCTATTAGCAAGAAAACTTTGGTGACCATCTGCGTCTTTCTGTACATTTTTCTCTTCCAGTTTTTCTCTCTTTTGTTTGTTTCTGTATTGGAGACATGAAAGAAGAGAAGAAATAAACACAGAACTTTTCTCTTTAAAGGAAATTTTTAATTAACTCCAAAGCAATGTAAAAGGCTATTCTCTTAGGTGATGACAAAGAGACTCCCATCTTTTCATAAGTCTCTCATCAAGGCAGTTTTTATTTGATTCATATTAGCCAAGTCCTTGTTGCTCGCATTTTAGGCTGTTGTCTGCTATAATACACTTTATTATTCTTCCTTCATACTTTCTTCCACTTTTCGTTTCATTAATATTTTTAGGGCTCTTAGCATTCTGTAGGAAGTATTAGCTTTCATTCCATGAAAACTGTTTTATAAGATCTCCATTGCCTTGTATTATGTGTATAGAAAAGCCTTATATGTAAATGTACTTACGGTTTTATGTTGCAGATGCCGAAATTAGAGTTCCGTTCCAATGCCAAACCTTCGCTCTTCGCTTATCCTCCACCACTTGAAGAAAAGAAGCGTGAAGAGCGTGAGAAAGTGACCACAGCTGTTCTCAGCATTGCAGCCCGTGCCAGACGTCGTGAAGCCGAGCGCAGATTGCGGGATTCTGACAAGATGGAAGTGGTTAGTTTCTTTTTCTATACCGTTTTTATTTAATATTCATTGAATTTTATTTGTGATGTTTTTGTGAATCTTTTGTTTCTGTGATGCTTTTGTTGAATTCTTCTGTTTGTTTGTAGGATGAAGAAAAGGATGACACCAAAGAAGCGAAAGATAAGAAGGAAGAAAAGAAGGAGAAGGAAGATAAGAAAGAGAAGAAGGAAAAAGAGAAGGAAAAGGAAAAAGAGAAAGAAAAAGAGAAGGAGAAAGAAAAAGAGAAGGAAAAGGAGAAAGAGAAGGAAAAGGAGAAAGAAAAAGAAAAGAAAGAGGAGAAAGAAGAAAAAGATGATAAGAAAACTGACAAGAAGACTTCTGGCAAAGAAGAAGAAGCCAAGAAGGAACCTGAACCCAATTTCGAGATTCTGAGCAATCCTGCTAGAACTATGAAGCAACAGGTACCGATGTTTACCATTTCCAGTTATAAATATTTTTGTGCAATTTTTATGTTGCAGCCAAACACAATTCAGTATGCTTATGGATACCGAATTTTTACAGTTTGTTCTTATTTCATCAAGCATGTTTTTGAATTTATTTTTCATAATATAACAATCACAAAATTCAGTCATTGGTCTCTTTTTTCTTACAACAATTCACATTTTGGAAACTGACAATTAAATGATTCACCATTGGTTTAATTTTCTCTAATCATTCTCCAATTTTTAAATTTTAGCTTAAAGTTCTTCAGTTGGTAGACAACAGCAATTATGCTCCTTTGAAGGATGTATCTATTGGAGGAATCATTATGGTTCGACAAATCAAACCTGGTGTTACTGAAGAACTAGTTGAACCCGTTGCTGGTGAGTTGTCACTTATCCATATTTACTTTGCGTTGTTCAAAACATGCAACGTCATACCTGATTTTCTCTATCAATTACTGCAAGAGCAATCACTTGCATAATTTCAAATCCTTAAATGAAGCATAAAGTGATTGATTTTTGTTTAATGTTGTTTCAGCTTTTGGACCGAAACCAGAAGATGATAAGGAACCTGAACCCCCAGAACCCTTTGAATATGTTGAGGAATAGAATAAATAATTCGCAAATCAGGCGTTTTGCATATGCATGCTTCCTAATTATTTTTTATGAGTATATGGTCGATTGCTAACTTATGTTTTAACATTAAGTTTTTTCCTGTCAGTGTTTAGATTAGGCAAAACTACTGAATCATACTATGTATGCATTTAAAACTGAAATAAACAACAGTATATGTTCAAATCTATGTCAGAAAATTTCTCATTCCTTTATTACTGTTAACTGATTTTATCAGTCACATACATTTTTAGCCCTGTTAACATGCAACCCTGCAGGTTTGTTAAGTGCACTTGTACCAACTTGTATGTTAAGAAATTTAACATCATTAGCATTGTAAATAAACAACCATTGATTCATCATGAGATTTTATGGTGACCGATAAAATGCTAACTGTGCCACAAAATGTTAGTGTTATTACTGCCTCGTCCAAATTAAAAATCTCAGCTCTGCTACACTTCGCCTCTATTTTTAACGTTTGGCCTCTGCAGTAATAACACTCTTAACATTTCTCTATAGTATGGTAATAGATATTAACTTTCCTTTAGATTTCCTTACAAAATCTAAGTTAGAGCTTGAAATCGAGGGCAAATGTAATTTTTTTTCTTCCATGAGGGGTCAAATATTTATAACACATGGAGAACAAAAAGTATTACTTGAAACATAATTTAAAACTTTATAGCATTATGCCATAGTTTTGAATCTACACAATTTATAATACATGATTTTCAAATCAATACAAATATCATGGAATTTGCCCAAAGTTGGTGAAAGGTTTACTAAAATTTTTATTAAAATTATTCTAAGCATTTGTCTCCCTGGCTGGGGGACACGTTATATCACTAAGCTACAACTAATGCTCCATGTTGTACATACTTTTTTAATGAACTTACGGATTTTTCCATGCATAATACTCAATTGATCGCTCTGATGGCTTAAGGCTAGTTAGCTCACTTTTTATGTTATGCACCCCTGGTTAGATTCCTGGATTGTGCAAAGTTGGTTGCTTCACTGCTACGTCCCAGTTCATATAGCTGTGTGTGACTATGTAAAAGCTTCTCTCAAGTAGAGAATTCCAAATAAATGCTGCCAGGGGTTGTGTTGTGTGTATCACAGGACTCCTGAGCCCATAGCCATTAGGGTGGTATGCCATGGTAGGTTGTAGCCTCACAAGACTAGAGTGTTAAGAGTACATATATTCACACTTCTTATATGACACTGAATTGTCAATCTTCTCACCTTGTGGAAATCTGGACAAATGCTTTAAGCAATTTTCATTATAAAATACTTGTTATACTGCAGTAGAATGGTCACATTATGGACAATTTCTGAGCATATTTTTTCATGGTATTTGATTTTCAGCAAGGAGTCAGGATGGGGATAATTCAGAAAGTTAATTTTGTTTCATTACATCATTCAACTGTTCACATTTTCCTCAAATAATTTCTCATTACTTCCATGGAGCCATTTGCAATCTCACCAAGTTGCCTAGTAATGTATTTCTTTCTTACTTCTCACTTAATACCAAGAGATACTGGGGTTTGAGTTCTGACTTAGCAGGATTTTCAACACTATCTTAGATACCCAATCCAATTCAGCCACAGTCAGGGTGAGAATTCTAGTAGCTGACTGCTCTGATTGTTAGTTTTACAAAGTTTCTCAGATCAACATTAAGCAACTGCCAGAGGGGTCCCCTACCAAGGGCCATGAACTGTGTGCGATCTTTATTTCCTCTTCCATGTCTCGTCCTATCCTCACCCCTTACTTACACACACACACTTACATTTACAAGCATTACACTACCACATGTCAAACTTACAGCTTGTCCTGACAGGAAATCACCGCAAGCCGATGTGTAGGTCATCACTGAATCTCACCATGCTGTAGGGGAAGAAAACTGTCATCGCTTGTGATAAAACACGCACTACACTTAAGGAACTGACAACCCTTGTAGTCAATGTACCTGGAAATATAAAATAATCAAACTATCTAATCACTTCTTTATTCTGATCCATTTTACCTTTATCAAAAATTATCAATAGACAAATGTATAGACAGCTCAAGCTTCATGCTGGTTTTTAAAAATCTTTTTTATATTTTTTTTGTCTGGTTGCAGTGCTACGAGAAAAAAAAGTGTTATTGTGATTTGTAATTTATTAGAGCCCTCTATTCTGTCATTTATCTCATTGACCATCACAACATAAAGAATACTTCAATTCACTTGAGAATTATTGTAATTACTGAAACTAATGCATAAAGAAGGGTATATTTGCATTATTGGTATTGTGAAGAAAACGAGTGGTGATGGGAGCTAGTTTTCTTATTTATCCCTCCGCATAATCAAGCTCTAAATGTAACGCTGATCATGTACACATATACCCCATTCGAATGTTATGCAAGATTTCTTTGAAATATGAAATAACTAACTAAAATATGTTTGCTTTGAGCAGTTAATATATAATGAAAAACAAATTTAATAGAATTAAGTAACTTTATTCCTATGTTTCTCATTTATTACATCAATACACTTCATTCAAGGTTATTCGTGTTTCAGGTAACTGATGCATATTTTTATTGTTTTTGTATCTGAGTGTTTATTACACGTAAATGATGAACACTTACTGTATCTTGTTCTACTCTTTCTATCTCCGTTTGTAGTAATTAATAAGGAATTAAAATTTATGACAAGGGATTTGTCAATCGGGGTATACATGTACCCCTGTGCTTGTTTAGAGAAAAAATGTAAAACACTTAAAAATATTACTTTCTTTAAGACGTAATTAGGTAATGGAAGTATTTTGGACAATGTATGGAGATTTCAAAATCACAAAATAAGCAAAACATACACAAGTAAAAAAGTGAGATGGGGTACATGGGTACCCCGCTTTGTATGCGAAGGGTTAAAGTAAGTGAAGTTTTAATTGCATTTTATCCACATGTTATGTTCAATATCTTTTTCATTTCCTTTTGAGAAAAAGTTTTACCTCTTTACCATTCAAGGAGTCACATTCGTTGTGACAAGACCAATTGTAATGGGCCTTGTGTACTTATGATTACCATAGTGACATAAAGGATAAAGAAATGTTTTGAAATGGAAGATATTACTCGTTTTCCAGATTAAATATTAGAAGCAGAGAGAGCAGTGGAATCATTACACATTACTTCCTATGAAATGTAAAGTAATGTATGAAAGAAGATTTTAAATATATAAATGTATTTTATTCTTGTTGAAATATTTTTATGTTTTCTTTAGCAAGTGTCAAAGCAACATGCTTGTGGGCATGCCATTCTGAAGATACGGCATGTAAAAGAATACCAATCTTATGGATTGCAACAACTTCACAGTTGTGTAGAAACAAAAGATAAAGGAGTTATATCTAAAAAATATATTTCTTTTACAGAAAAGGACTTAATAGATCTTGAGCAGAGGCACCTTCTTACAAAGGCAAATTTAGTAAATGAAAGTGTGATACTATATGACACTGCCCTAGTGTAACAATGACTGTAATTATTCTCCAATTTAAGAAATTATACTTTAAATATTAATGTCTTTACAAAATAGTAACTAAAGATTTGTTCATAAAGTTACTGATTGCATGTACTTCATAATCTGTAATGTGCAGTTTGTTTGTGTCCATAGTGATTTCATTTCATAAGTTTTACTCCTTTTCTGAGTTATGTTTGGTAATTGCACAGGTTTAATTGCATTATCAATTAAATTCATTAATAATTAAGGATTTGTCATGAATTAATGATAATATTTAATTTACTAACCAAAAAATCTTTTAATTTCACCGTTTGGACTTTTAATTCACTATTTCTAAAACATTAGAATTTCAACGTACACAATACGTACATTTTATTTATGTATTCCTGATGACAAAACAGCAAATAATGAAATGGTGACTGCAATCAGAGCTACAATGATATCTAAATATATAGTAAAATCTTAAAAGATTAAGTAATTGATAAAATAATGTATGGCACTCGAGAGTAAAAGATTGTAATCACTCATGAGTATTAGCCCGCTAAGCTCCCAACAATGCGTCGGAGGCCAAACTTTTCATTCTTGAATTAATTGAATTATTAATACTTAATAAAGAATGTCAATATCATTTCATGAAAATATATTTTAGATATATTGTTTTTATGTCTGCACAATTCCTGTAATTGTGCAATTGCTGATGATGCAAACAAAATGTAATGATTACATGGACACTTTTATTACTGTTAATAATTAATTTATTTAAGACACTAAAAAAATACAACACTGAGTCAGAAGGATAGCTATATGTAGTGTTCTGGTGCAGAGCAAGGGATCATTTCTCCTTTGGATCATCGGAAACAATCTAAATCTTAATAAAGGTAGACACGGCTGATCAGAACTTGAAAATATTTTGAAAAAATGCAACCATTCTCATACAAATTACAAAGAGAGAGAGAGACCTAAATGATTGAAATTACGTTGCTCTTGTTCTTGAGACCTTGTACAGAGATTGGCAGAAGTCAAATTTTGATGTCTTACAAGTTGAGACATTTGGAAATGTATTTCTTAGATTTAAAAGGCAAAAGTATAAGAGAGTTTTGAACTCTATCATCAAATGTTTTTCATGTAATCCTTGGGCAGAAATGCTAAATTTGTTCATGATATTTCATTTATGATTTATAACACATAACATCTTCAACACCTTTGGTTATTTTGTGTGTTGCCTGTGCCAGAGGCAGGATTCGAACCCCCTACCCTTCGAGCCCTGGCTGTTATGGCCCTTCAGCCTTAGCGACCTTGGCTATCCAGGCTGGTTTTGTGAATTTGATTTAATTGGACAAAAACTGTTTTAAGAAAGAACTGAGAGGTCAAACACTGTTCAGTGTTTAATTAATTATTAGTGTTGTTATCTGTACATGGAATGTTTAAGAATTAAAAGTTTTTGCGAACCACTGATAGAAATGGCCAATCAGTGACAACTGTCTTCAAGATAATCATACAAATTTCTTAACATAATGTGTTTATAATAAATCAGTACTGTAATTGTAGTCAATTGCTGTACAATGTGTTATTTTAATACAACTAATATGAGAAAGATATATTCATAGGGTATAATCCATCATTTCAAATTCATATTCGTAATATGTCCCTTTTTATCATTTTAAGAAAATAATTTCATATTTGCTTATTTTCAGCAATGAGTCTCTGAGATTGAATATATGGACAAGAACAGTGTATATCAACAAGCTTCTTGGTTACAATTGTTTGTTGGGTTTTGTTTTATTTTTTTTTTATTTTTCCTTCTGTTTTTACTGTTTAAAATTTGCTTAATTTGTTGTAATTCATTAAGCAGAACAGGAAATGAACAATTTATTATTACATGTTTCACGTTTTTCATCCCTTATAAGAACTCATCATTTATATAAAAGTTATTCAGATGAAACTGCGTTATTTTATTTTTGAGGTTTTTCCTGTAGCCTATAAGTGTAATTCACAACATAATTTTTAATTTTAAAAAATCTAAAAATAAAAAATATCGATTAATCTAATCAATTTTTGCCAAAAACGCTTGTTTCCATCCGTACTCAGAATTCAACTTGTAGGCCCAATGTATTAGAGCATGGATCCCAGAAACTATTAATAAGTTTCTGGGAGAAAAAATTGAATTCATTTACAATTCTCCCAGGGCACAAAATTGCCAATTTGTACCCAACTGGCATTTGCAAAATTTTAGTTGTATTATTTTATTGTCATGGAAGAAAACAAAATAATCACTTACTTGATTGTGATTTGGTTAGGAAAAAAATCTAATTACTATTTTCCTCTAAATTCTTTAAAAAACTTGATCATTTGCCTGATACGTGATTAGGGAATGTTTCTTTTCTGACATTTGAAACTCACAATATAGTTTATTTACATTATTTTATGAATACATATATAAACTGAAATGTTTAGGTGCTTCTTTCAATGTTAATAACACATCATTCTGAAGCAACTGCAAAATAAACATAATAAACTCACATGCACCTTCCTCAGAAGTTATTCTGAAATGATGGTAATCAATTATTGCACAGACATTGCAATATGAAAATATCATTGCCCCATAAGTCGAAGGTAACATTGCAAGATGAAATACATTTACAAAATATAAATCCATGTCCTTCACTGTCCTAATATATTCACAAACACACACATATACACACACTGCACTAATGGAGTAATGTTTCCAGTAGTTTTTTAACACTTTTTAGGGCTGGGTGAAGTACAGGTGTGTATAAACCTGCACTATTGTCTCATCCACATTAAGTTAGCAAGAACAATTTCAGTTGTTTCTTTTTTTCTTTTTTTTCTTTTTTACAAAATGGCACAGATCCTCCTGGGTGGTGGTGGTTTTTTCATTACAGTCCTTATAGCTTCAACAAAAACCTCTCTCAGACCTTGCATATTTTTGGCAGAGCATTCCATATATTTTGCAGCTTTAATTCTTCTTTTTAATACCTTACCCTCATTCTCTGAAATAATTTCTTGTTCATCTTCTTCTCTTAAGTCTATTTTCGTAGCTATAACATAATGAAAAAAAAATTAAATAAATTATTCCTTTTGACAAACTTACTTCTGATAAAATTGATGAGTACTCACCAACTAACACTATCGGAACTGTAGGACAGTGATGTCTAATTTCAGGATACCATTTTGAAACAATGTTTTCATATGAACTTCTGCTAGCCACAGAGTAACAGAGTAAAAAGCAATCAGTCTGAAAAAAAAACAGATCGTTTATTTTAGTTTTTCAACCTCGTAATTTCTTAGAATAACTGAAAAAGTGAGAGTCTATTAGCAGATTCCCAAAGTTGTGATTGGTTCGTTTTGCAAGTCTTTTGTTTTTATGTTTTTCAAGTGTTCTAAAGTTGGATGGCGGTTGTGAAACAACAATCTAAGCATCTTTAACGTGGGAAAATACTAGATCATCCAGTAATGAACTGGGTAAGTTGACTGTTCAAAATTTTAACAATTTTGTTGAAAATGTAATGAGATTTTCCCCTTGTCAAAAACATGCTTCAATGAATGTGCTTGCCTAATCTAGTAATTCTAAGAAAAGCTTCAGATGTTAAATATTTGTCGTTGCCGTTAGGATTAACTAACAACTCGGATGAAACCCTTTGAGGTTTCATGACTCATGACGCTTTTCCTGCATGACACAGAACAGGAAATATTGGTTGGTGATAAGGTGAAGTCATTCCCTCTGGGTCGCATTAGTTTTCTCGTCACGACATTGCTCCAAGGGCAAGTGCCTGTAAAATATTTTACCCAAGAAACATGCACCACAGATCACATCCTTGTCATTTAACATTTGAGGGAACTCGTCACTTCCTTTATATTTTAATATATAACCTATAACACGTTTAGAATTTCAGTACCAGTTTTAGAAAAGTGCTTGTCTTGAAAATAATTTTTAGTTTTCATAAATGATTTGACCATGTTACATAAATTCAAAAGTGCTAAGGGAGGGAAGCAATTTTCAGTGCTTTATCACGAGGAGGAATAGTAGACTTCCCGTACGACAGAAGTAAACATGAAAAAGAAACAAAAATAAATACTCCACATTTGTGAATTCTAACCTTCCAGAAACTAACAAATGGAGTACAAGTCGTAAATCGACTTACACAAGTTAGTAAAATATTTTCTGCTGGATAACTATTTCTATACGGTTAGAGATAATAATACCAAGTATCAAAAGAGAAAATAATAAGTTTAACAATGATATTTAATGTATTATCATTTGGGTTGTATAACTCTAAACAACCTGTAACAATTATTGTACTCGGACAATGACCCCCATCTCGATCAGGTTTTTCGTACAAGTTTCCATGATCCTCAGCGCGAATGCGGAGATGGACCCTTGTTTTGCTTCTGGACAACACTGTGCACGTTCAGTGGGAAATATAGTCATTCAAATTATCCTTGCTCTCCAGGTTGTGGCAAGAAGTATATTTCTTCACGAAGGACACTGAAAGGGATAAGAGCCCAAACCCATCGCTGATGTGCACTTCAAATTAGAGTGTATTACACGGAAGCGAATATTTTCTTATCAAATTTGTCCAAAAACCTTATTTTACTAAGTGGTTCTATTTTACTTTTCCAATGACAGACCACCATCTATGAGTCAGAACAGAAAGTTGTGAGTTCAGATATGCAATCGGAAAGAACCTCTTAGGCGAAACTAGAAATCACTGAAATTAGTCCTTGTGAAAATAGCCTGGTTTACTAATAGTACACGTTGTCTTGGTATTCGGGAACACAGCCCGACATAATCCACACAGCGCATTACTCTATAATTTCACATGTAAGTTACTGAAGCCCGTGCCGATGTGATCCAGGGCTTCAAGAAAAGTGTTCGACAAATGAACATCTCTCGTATAAACTCAATAATGTATCGACGTGACTGGAAGTTGGAGACAGTTCTATGAGATTCTAGAGTAGAATTGTAGCAAACGAAGAGAGTATCCATGGAAAAATGTTTGTAATTATATGTTTAAATGGGAGAAGGCAGCATACGGAAAAGAGTGTGTTGTTGACTAGTTTGTTCGATTATGCCTGTACGGGGAAAAAAGAAAGAAAGGGGGAAAATCGAAAAAAACCTGCTGTTCTTTTATGTGATTATCATGATGTAATTCTAGTGATGTAATACAAGTAATAATACTTGCTCGCATACTACTATTTACGCACAGCAAAGAAAGTCTTGTAATACTTCAGCGAAAAGCGGCGATTTTTCGGCTGAAAAATTCGTATTGTTGGTTCCTGATGCCGAAACTAGTGGTACTACAGATTGGCACAGACGTTCCCATACTAGTTAGTTCTCTAATCTCTTTAGTCTGTCGGTTTTGTTGCACCCTCTTTCCAGTTGATACCAGTCGGCGCTATAAAGACATTTTCCCCACTTTTTTAAAATCAGTTTTTGGTTCCTTACAATCAAAATTGAAATGTGACTTCAAGAAGAGTAAAAACTGGCCCAATCCCCAATTTTTCAGTGAAAAATTGGGAGCCATTTTTAATAAAATGTCGATTGAGCATTTCTGAAAATGAACAATTTCGAGCTCGTTTTCACAGAAAAGTTTTTTGTTTAGAAGATAATTCAGAAAAAGAATTTCAAAGCACTTGTACTCACAAATGCAAAAATGTTCAAAAACATCCTCTATGTAAATATTAACTATGTGAGAGATATTTTAAAAAAACATTTATTGATTATGACATGTTACTATGAATGCAAAAAGCTTAAAGAAAAAATGAAGTGGTTCCTGAGAAATTTTTTATTGAATATTACACTTATTTCACTCAAAATTGTGCCAAAACAACTACTAATAATTTCAAAGAAATGTAGTTGAAATTAATTAAAACAATAGTAGAGACCATATATTATTTGAAGAAAAGTCTCTATCTGCAATAAAGTAGTAATACGAGGAGGTAAAAAAACTTTTGAAACTTTTGAAATTTCAGAATTAACAGTGAAATTTCTTCCCATCTTTCTTTACATGTGTATTTAACTCTATTCTTAAAAGAAATTTAAAGAAAGATGTGGTAACTTTTAACACAATTTTGAAAATGTCCCAATGTTTTGTGAATCCCCAATTTTAAGAATTCTTTTCAAAATCACAGTATTTTGAATTGAACCAGATTGATCGTGGAGTATTCCTTTTTAGAAAACATTAAGTGCTAATGTTGTTCACACAGGGTCAGATATTTTTATGTATGTATAATTTTAAAGCACTTTTTGGTATTAGGGAATTACATTACTGTTCAGGAGCAAACAAGGGGCCATCTCAGCATTTGCTCAAATGAGCAGGGAAACTGAACAAAACTTTATCAAGATGGGGTCATTGGCCTAGGGATTATATTATAATACTTGCTACAGATAGATTAGGATGTTATACAGTAGTTAATTATTTTGCTAGCAGGTAATTTAACATATTAAGATGTTATTTTCATAATATTAACAACAACAACAACAATAATAATAATAATAATAATAATATTAAAGCAATACATAACAATTCTGTTAGCAACTACATAAGATTTAACAATATTAGTTCATTCTATATTTAAAACTTGAAATAGTGAGGAAGAGGAGGCAAATTTTGACCAGTTTTTTTTCTTTTTTTCTTCTTTCAATTTGTACACGTAGTCCAGCTGCAGCACCTAATGCGTCTAGGGAATCCAGAGAGAAACATAATTTTGTTTTTGTCAGGCATTCTCCTTCTACATCACAGTTAACAAGAAACAGAAAGTCTAATGGGATAAGAAATTCTTATTTATGTATATTTTTTAAGGGAAATATTGTTGTGATTTGAATATTTCTTTACACTGTAGAATATGTAAGAAAAGTAGGACTGTAGAAAAGAAGGAAAGCTTTCAATTTACTTTTAAATGTATGAATTGTGTTTATGTCTTTAATATCATTGCCTAATTTGATGTAAAGTGTAATGCCCTCTATTATGGCACTTTTTCAATAAAGTGTAGTTTCAGAGTGGGGAACATTTTTGTTCTTTTGAATATATCTGGGAATATGCCTGATTTTAGAGAGTAATTGCAGGTGTGAGAGAGGATTGGTCTATACATGGGGCACTGTGTTTAATAAGAAAATCTGGAATGTTGTCCATGCCTGCTGAGAATTTATTCTGCATTTGTCCAATGAATTTAAAATTTCAGAAGGTGTGGTTTCATATAAAAATATGGAATTAACAATTTGTGTAACATTAGTGTTTGGTTGGTGTTTTTTGTTTTGAGAGTGTTGTGAGGTTAACTTATTACTAATTTGTGAAAAGTGTTCATTGAATATATCAACTATTTCTTGTGGGTCTTGTACAGTTTGGTTTTTGTAGTGGAGCTCTATATTTTTCTGTTATTATTAGTTGGTGCTGTAGTCTTTTTAATAATGTCCCTCATAACTTTTCTTATATTGTGTGCATTACTTATCATTTGTCATAATTTTTGCTTGTTTGATTACTTTTTTTAGGATTGAATTATGTTTTGTAATATGAAATTAAGTTTGAGTTACATTTGTTATTTTTATACATGTTGTGTTTTCTTTAAACATGACACTTAGATGCTTGTGGTAATCCTCGATTTAGTTTTCTTATTTTGGATCTTTTTAAATTTTTTGAGGAAAAATTTCATTGAAATGTCAACAAGCGGCTAAACACTAGGTAAGATTTTCACCAAAATCGAATAAGCGATGCTTTAAATTTGAAGCAGACATTTTGGTTTTGGGGAGAATTATATAAAAACCTCAAGGACCGTTCCAAAATTTTCTCAAAAACGGCGAAATTTTTTCAATATACTTTTTCTTCGGATAGCGCAAACGACGCGGGCCTCATTTTCGTGGAAATCTCTGAATTTTCGAAAATTGTTAAAGTACAATACTTTTTCAGCTTCTTCCTACAAATGCAATATTGAAGATATACAGTTTTTTAATGAAATCTATTTTTCACATTATATCTTTAAATAGATCATCTACATATTTCAAAATATGAGTAGTTTTCGCATAATTTTGCAAGAAATGAAGACAATTTTAAAAACAAGATGTTTTGAAAAAGGACTCCATTTGTATCTCTGATAGTGTGAAGTACGCTTATAAAAAATGGCGCAGGTTTGACTTCCGTTTATCTCTCTCAATTTTCTAAATTTGCAAAAGTTAGAAATAATGAAAGAAGGTATGTGCTATTATAGCGTTACTCTTATGTATTTACTACATTGTAGTTAAATTTAATATGTATCGTATAATCAGTTTTTTTCCTGTTTGCAAATCGACAATATTCTCCTCGCCCAAACGAGTAACACGATGTCCCTCAGCAGATTTTCCTTATTTATGTGAAATCACTCCTATTAAAGTTTTATCATATGTACGCAGATGACTCACATATTCACGTAGGCGGGAAACCATTGGACGTGTGCCTTGTAATTAACCTAACAAACCGTAATTTGATACTGCTTATTTAAATAGTCAGTGAGCAAGTAATGCAAGACAAAATTATCAAATCCTTTCAGTATCATATAGCCCTTGTATAATTAAAACATAACTAAAATATAAAATGTGCTAAAGTCATCATTATCGAAAATATTGAAGATTTCTTTTCTGAAATAAATTTTATTCCAAGCACGGATAAATTCCATATTGTGAACCACATTCGTGATCTTTATCTCAAATAGTGTTTCTCAATCAACGTAGTCAGATATGCATGAAGGTTTTTCAACATCGTTATGATTTGTGAGACTCACATTTGGGTAGGATAGAGGTCGAAGTCTTTCATAATCCTCTTGACCTGCTGTGTCCCACAAGGTCATGTTGAATTCTTGCTCATCTACTATTATATTGTCAGCATAGTTGTCGAATCTGAAAGAAAAAAGTTCGTTAAGATATAAATAAATATCCTTTACCACACTGTGCGAGAGGGCTGCTAATATATAATAGCAATTTTGTAAAAAGAAAATATAATGTTTTCTCGTTTTTTGAAGGGTCTTCAACTTGATACAATAGAAAAGTATGAGAGTGTAATTTAGATTAACTTGACATCTATATGACATGGCAATAAAACATTTTATGAATCCCTAAGGAAAATATTACGGTTAGATGCGGCTCCTAATATTCTCTAAGAAAATAGAGAGATCGTAAGCCTTAATTCCTACTTTCGCTGTGGAAGTAATCCTACGATGGGTACTGGTGTACCTCATATAAAATTTTTAATTTTTATAGAGTAAAATATTTTTTATTAAATATGAGTACATATAATTAATTCGATCACCAAGGATGTAAAACTGTCTGTAGAACGTCAATCTTAATACTCAGAACGTATGACTTTCTAGAATACCTAGTAGAAAACAAGTATTTTATTGCTGTAAGGAAAGTGTCGACTTTATGAATGAAAAAACACCTTTTTGTTTGTTGTTTCGTTGAAAGGAAAACTATTTCCATATTACGCAGTAGATCGAATAAATTCCTTTCCCTGTCTAGTTGGTGGTTGTGGTAAATAAATGCCAGATCATATCAGCTAGTTTTGTGGGAAAATAGTTATTTACTTAGCTAGTAATTGCAGAAGATTAATCTTTGACGTAAGAATGACATTTTTGGTAAATGAAGAGACGATTTGAAAAGAGTACGCGCAATATACTTTCATTGAGTTGCGTACATTCTATTTTATTAAAGCAGGAATTCATGGAAACTTGCAAGTGTATAGGCTAATCTTAGCGGCCATGTTGATTCATGTCGCACCAGTAGTTTGTTTACTTTGCAGTACTCAGTTGTTTTATGTGACCGTGGATTTTCTGCGGTACGCTTATGGCAAGGTCGATTTTGCCATACGCGTGTCGCAAAGTAACACTTTCCAACCAACAAACAGAGGAGGCCTGTACTTTCCGTGCTTCAGCGCTGAAAAAGACATTTGGCGCCGTAATTGCAAAGAAACAGGTACTCACACTGTGGGGACGTATTCCTTGGGGAACTGCTTCTGCGTGTAGGTGATGAGCATGCACGTCTTGCCCACCATCCCGTCGCCCACGGCGGTGATCTTGATGGGGCGGATGCGGTTGGCGTGCAGCCCCTCCGCCTTGACGCCGTTCATGTTGCTGCCACCCTGCAAACGTACCAGGCACGTCACACAACCACAGAGGCAATACAAATAGTAGTAAACATCACTTGTTGCTTGACAAATAATTTCGTGCCCCAGCAGCGATTGATCTAAAACGTTGTTATCCATAATTCCCTTCTATCGCAGAATGTGGCTAGAAGTGGTGTAACTACCAATTCATCTGCACGGGGTTATTGCCGGGTGGGCTGAATGGGTTTCAAGGTAGCGGACTTAAAACGACTGTGATAAATAAATGCTCGGATAACGGTGGGCAAACGGCTAGTTTTATGTCAGGGTATTGTCTTTAATGATTTCATGTACTTCATAGGTAACGAAGATTTTATCTACTTCTAATGAAGGTAATGCAGTAGTCGCATTATGAGAAATACTGTGCATGATCGGAAAAGAAAGCCTTTCCAACCCCATTGCGATCACCCTCCGTGCATGCGCATGCAGTGATGGCTGGGGAGCGGTAGAAGAGCGGAGGCGCTGGGAAAAGCGCATTGCTTCCCCAGTTGCAGCACACGCCTAGGAGGGGGGTTCGAGGCGCATGGAAGGAAGGGCGCATACCGATCATGCCCTCTCGCAAGCCAATCTGTTTTGTAATTTCACTCAATTTATTCAAAACAATTACCACTAAGGATCGCATCACATCCAAAGGAGTAATCCCGTAAGTAATATTCATTTGTTATTTCAAGCAAACATTTGTGTATTCCTTTTTATTACTTCAAAAACATATGAGGGGAAAAACAAACAAAAATTGGCTCACTCCTAAAATATTTTCTGGAGACTTTCTCGGAAGTTCATTAATAATCTCTATCAGTTACATCATACTAGTTTCGTAGATTCCGAAAGGGAAAAGGCCTTATCTAACTTATAATACATATTTGTAGCGATTATGGTAATGAAGGTATCCAATAGAAAAGATCAAAAAGGAGGATAGGCTAAGTGAATTCATTCCTATTCCACAGCTCACGCTTCGATACACGTCGGCAGAAACAGCTCCCTTTTAAATATTCCCACAATATATCCAGCTCGAAGGATGTATTCTGTAACACAATCTCTCATGAATTTCAAGTTAATTTCTCGAGCTTATGTTGCATGTTTCCAACTCAAGAAAGAAAATAAAAAAGACCTCGTCAAGAGATATTTCTCAGCAGTTTTGCATTTTCTAGGTATTTGTAATCAAGCATTGTTAAAGCGCTCATTTCTACATTTATTCGTACTACGTCAAGGAGAGGGCAGGGCTCGAGAAAATATTTTCTCCCTCTATTTACGTCACATAGTTGTTAGTGTTTTGAATGTAAAATAAATGAGCTGGACGAACCGGGAAGTGTTGAGGAATTGAAATAGTTATTTACGATATTAGTGTCGTAATGCATCTGACTACAATTCGAAATTGGAAAATTGCCAAACGAGTCCGTCAGGACGAGTTTGGTAACCAATTGAGTATTGTAATCAGATGTTATGACACGAATATCGTACAACGTTTTATCCACTTTGTAAAATTTGGTTAGATTTTAGATTAAAATTTTCATTTAGTATTCACAGTTTTCCCCTCTAAGTGGCAGCACTGTTCTTAACAAGGAACAATTGAAACGCGCATGGTGTACACATTTCGACAACATGAGCGAATGCAGTTCAGACTCAGAAATAGAAATAGCAGCAAATGCTGCTATAGATTCTTTGTTACCATATTATTATTGTTATTATTTGAAAAAAATTGTTAACAAAGTTTTTTTCATAATAAATTATTTGAATAATTATTGTTATTCTCAATAGTAGACCATGGAATAGTGCTCGTCTCAGAATAACCCTACACGTATGCCATTACCGCACTAGTGTGGTAATGAAGTTCATTTACCACACTAGAGCGGTAAAGCACTTCATTACGAAACTGATTATAATAGCATAATGTTTCACATTACTAACCAAAGTGGATAAAGATATTTAGCTCCTGGGAGCATTCTCGCCTCTCAACCCGGCCTCAGAAAGATTTGCTCTTCACATGCACTTCACGTACAGTCTTTAAACTCTAACCGAAGCATCGGACAAGAATTATGAGTACCCAACACAAGCAACATTAACAACAGAGACACAACGTAACCACATAGAACGTACAACAGTGCAAATGTTTCCGTAATTGGCTGACGACTACCGGACCATTTTGAACGTTTTTTTCATTCATGACAATAAAACTGTCATGGAATACTGTCGCTGTAAAAAAGTATTATACAGTTTGCATAGGAAGTGACAAATTCGGAGAAGCGGCTTGACCGAACTACTGTACTTATCCTGAGTCGTTCTCTCCAAGAAAAAATTGAAAAATCGTACTACACAATACACTCTCGCGTGTTTGAAACTTACGAGTAACTACCTACGTCTCGTCTACTGCAGTCAAATAAAAAACTGACAATGTAACTTAATCTTAATTTATAATGTTCGGCAAATGTCCTTCCCTTGTGTTGTTATGGTTTTCTTGCAACTTCAGGGGAGGTGAAGGTATATCAAGTTATTCAATTTTTGATTGAAATTTTCAAAATGATTTCTGAACAAAAAACTGTACACTGTTTATCTTGCTGCAGACACAGTGCACATAACTACAGAAACCCGCTTACAATGACCCTCTTTTAAAATGTTTGTCAAAACGCACATATCCCTCATATCCCATCCTTGGAAGCGATTGGCTGGTGAAGCGAACAAACACGATTCCAATGTGCCAAACATTGAAAAACTTTTCAAAAGAAAATTGGTCTGTCTGTTATTAAGATAATTTCTCATAAAGACCCAGTGGTTTTATTTAATTAGCTCACTCTGGATAAATTCAACCGTTTTGACATTTTCAGTTAGTGTGCATGTGTACCTATTGGTAAAGAACTTGGACCTTTTTGTAAAATGTAAATCATTGATTTCATTATTTCCAATTCCTGGAGATTCTAATTTCCCGCTCCACTTGTGTAAAGGCGGAAGAAGAGGTTCGCATATTGGATCGGGATGGAGAATGGCCGTAGGGCCGGGTTCGACGTGCGCGTCAGCCGATCGCAGCTCGCTTGTTTCCTCTCGCCCTCTAAGGCTCGGCCAGAGCTTGTCCGGACTCAAGAATAAACCCAGGCGCGATGTTTAGACGAGGCACTCAACAAAAGACATCTCTCTTGATTTCTGGAACCTACCGTCACGGTTGCCAGATGCTTTGTACAAACATCCGACGTTAGATGGAAGTAAATCCGCCCAATAAGAAAATCTGAACATTCGATAAGCGGGAAATTTAAAATTTGCATTAAAATAATTGTATTAAAAGTTTTTTTTTAGATAGTGATCTTATGAAATTATTGATTAGTTGTTTTTTTAACATTGCAATTAATAATATTTAAGTAAAAACATATGCTTTTTGTAATAATAAGTTATATCTTAATATTTAAAAATTAGCTATGATTTTGTCTTAAGACTTTATTACTTTTAGGGATAAAATAATTTTCTCACTTTCCCATTTTCACTCTCCTTGCTCCTCTTATATATCCGCGCTTAAAAAGATTACCACAGAAATGCTTACATATGCATGCTTATTTCCTATGGCTTAACGGAAACTGCTGTCAGTGAAACTATACTTCCAAAGGCGTGTTCTAGAACTAACTGTACTGCCAATGTGATACATTTTCATGTTCTGCGCGGCAAATGAATATGACTTTCGGAACACACCCTATGCTAGAGGTCTAAAAATCAACATTACTCACTTGTTAAAGTAAATTTGATCGAATTAACAAATGATTATTAAAGAATCGTGTATAACGTAAAGAACTAAAAAATATCTAACTCAATGTCAACGTCGTTGCGGTTGTTTTCAGAAAATTTCGTCGTAAATTGAAAACCCGCCCAAAACCGCACATGTTTTGATGTTTTTCCGGTCGTTGGGCAGCAATCCGCGAAATCAATTTTTGTCCTGCGAGAGAGAGCCGTTTTCCAGCTCAAAAATTCCGCCCAATCTGGCAACCCTGCCTGCCGTGTCTATCCGAAATGAAAAAAACAAAAAGAATATTATTTACTACCACCATAAAGTAAATGTATCTGTTGTAAATGCTGTATTTTTAGTGATCTTTGAACTAATGAACAACTAGTAAGCGCCGCCCCTGGCTCCAATTAATACCAATTTTGAGTAGCCTGACGCCTTCTTCATCTGATGAAACTCTATTTAAAAGGAAAACAACAAAAACGCGTCGCTTCTTACTGAACCTGCGTTAGATTCAGTTGGTCGCAAAAACATGCCAGTGTCGAGATGTTTCGTCCGTGCTTTTCCCATTGTCGCCGAGCCATGGCGCTAAATGCGTGTCCTTGAGCGCCGGCCGCTCGTTATAACTGCGCGCGATCGAAGTAGGTGAGCGGGGCGGCTGAAGGGGGGGTGGGAGGGAAGGGGGTGAGCCGGTGACCGCCGGCCGGCGCGGCGGCCGCTGCCCGAGGTCGTTCACCGCAGATGCGGCGAGGCGCTGTCGGCGCGGGCGAGCGAACGGAACCGCGGATGCCGAAGCTGCTGCCGTCGGTCACGGCACTCCCCGCCCCCCTTCTCCCGAGGTTCTCAGCCGCTATACACGTTGCGAGAGACGGCTATGATTTCGACACAGCGAAACGTAGATAATTCGGATTAATTGGGTCTGGAACCCTTCTGGATTATCAAATTTTGCGGAGTTGCGAAAACAACCTACAAAACAGACAGTAAACGTCTTCAATGCAAAGTCGAGAAAATTGTTTATGTTCATTCTGATGATTGCAGAAGCGGAGCGAATCATTTATACGCTAACAATCTAATAGGCACGTTTAAACAAATGTGTACAAACATTCAGTGTATTTACTTCATGATCCTTTCTTTCCGAGAATCGACAATCGAATTCAGTCTATTGATGGCCTGGATTGTCGACAACCGAACTATTGGCACTCTACTGCATACTGATATGGAATTTTTTTAATTCTAAAGATTACAATTTATTATCGAAGATTTAATGCGTTTTCACGAAACA